TTCTTTGAAATCTTGGCGTAAGAATCAAGTATGATCTACGGTATCAAACCTAGAGGGAAAGAGAGAGGGAGAGAGGGGATAGAAGTCGTTGACCATCGGGCTTGGTGGAGGAGGAAGCCATGGCGGTGAAGAGGACACTATCGAGTCGGCAGTCGATGGAGAGGGGCGACGCAGTCCAGTGACGGCGGCATCCCGACGGCGATGAAAGCAGTGGAGCTTCCCGTCGCTTCCAGCGTCTCCCTCTAGATCAGATTAGGGTTGTAGGTGGGGTTTGTGGCAGCGGTGAACCTTGTACCTCGAGTCTCGGCACCCTACCTCCTTTTATATGGCGCTATGTAACGAAGGCCCACCAACCATGACTTGGTTGGACACCCCCGATCAGGGTGCGGGATCGAGGCCAGACTCGGTCGTTGGACCGAGTCGGACCGAGTCGGAGGAGATCAACCTAACAGTCAGTATTCACCAGAATAAGTGTTTTTAGACCAACCAGATTTCCGATCTCCGAGGGGATGCTCCCAGAGATCCCAAGGTCTTCAAGGTAAAGCTTCTCAAGTGTTGTCGAGAGCTTAGCAACCGAAACAGGAAGATCTCCTGTGAAATCATTGTCACCCAGGGTTTATGACCCCAGATACCCACGGCAGATCACATGGGCTACGCCCCCAGGGACGGCCCAGCCCACAAGATGAAGCCTTACGGGGGCACGACGTTGTTCGGCGTCTCCCGCAAAACAACGAGAAGATACTACGAGGTATGTTGGGATACGTATGATTCCATGATTCATGTAATCTGTTATTACTTTTCGGTTATATCCTAGATCTAACCGACTTGTAACCCTACCCCCCGTACTATATAAGACGGACAGGGACCCCCTCCAAACTCACGCAATATCACACGATAGCCAATACAATCAAACAGACCACAGGAGTAGAGTATTACGTCATACTGACGGCCTGAACCTGTCTAACTCGTGTGTCTCTGTTGCCTTCTTCTTCTCGATTACACGCATCTCTACCGATCAATCTACCTTCATGGGATACCCCTCGGAGGACTGTCGATGATATTCTATCGACAGTTGGCACGGCAGATAGGGGTGTGCGTGCTGATCCATGGCGAACCAGATGGCATCTCAAGATCGATGCCGCTCGTGGCAACTTGACTTCCTGCGGCGGCATACTTCAGTAGCCCGACAGGCTCGATATCACTCGGCGACGGAATCAATCTGTTATGCCGGCAACTCGGTCTACTACGATGGCGTCCGCCAACAACCTGACGAGACTCGATGTCGGATTCAACGTCGTGTTCAAGGATCAGTCTACTACTTGAAGCTTTCTTTTTTGTGCATCGGCTACTCGGCGTCTCTCTCGGCGACAAGTTCCAATGGAGCCACCGGATCGGATCAGATAATCAAATGCGGTGTTGTACCTGTACCGAAGGCTGCGACAAATTATTTTGCTGGCTGCTGTTGCACGTGAATCGAGGCGAAGCTAAGATCGTCGTTGTGCGGTCCCAAGATTCTAGTCCGTCTACTGAGATCGATTCGCTGCATGCCAATTACTAGAGCCATGCAAAGCTAGTTGTATGTACTTACGTATATACGTCTACGTGGAAGGAAGGCCAACTACAGATTGCTGCGGCACTTGCATGTGCACACGCACCCATGGAGCCGTCAAGCCGTCAAGCGAGCCGCTAAGCAAGCTACCCGTGTCGCCGACCAGATAACGCCATACGCCGCCGACCAGATATTCTGTCTAAAGCTAAGTCACGCTTTAATATTTTTCTAAATATTCTCCAATCTTCATATATCGCCATAATGTTTCTCCGAGCTGTTTTCTCCATGTTTGCTCTCCAAACGATTTCTTTCATGTATACCATCTTAAAGATGACATACATCTAAGTCTAAGGCAAATCGCCGAACAGTCATGTTGATGCTCGGATGTCTCCAGAGACGGCCCTGTCTCCGGCACCTCCCTACACGTGCACGAGCGTCTGCCCTCTGTGTTATGGGTGGTCGGCAGCGGCTCCTTAGCGACGCTTTGTTCTTCCTACACGCATACGGGCTCCGCGCTCCGTGTTATGGTTAACGGGCTAGCTAGGGCTGGAGACTCAGCTACACACTAATTGGTCGGGCAATTTATATTGAATATAAATACATCTCCAGAATAACACTAAGTGTTCACATCAACTGATCGTCAAGCTGCATACGCTATTTCATCACCATTGCTCATTCTTCTCCGGAGTTCATATATTTTACATTATGTACTACCCGTTCTACATATTTGTATTGCAGGATCATCGTCCAAGTGATCGGACCACCTGGTGCTCGGACTTTTCCACCGATCAACTGGTCGGACCACTAGGTTCATGGACTTCGTCGCCGACCAGTTGATCGGACTGTTTGCCGATCGCTTCTACTCAATGCTCACATCGCCGCCGACCAGTTGACCGGACTATTCGTCGCTCGTGCTTCATCGCCAACTACGCCGGGGACACCTCGATGCTCGGACATCCCCAGCTACGCCGGGGACTCCTCGGTGCTTGGACGTCGCCAGCTACGCCGGGGACTCCTCAGTGCTCGGACCTCGCCAGCTACGCCGGGGACTCCTCGGTGTTCAGACATCGCCAGCTACGCCGGAGACTCCTCGGTGCTCGGACATCGCCAGCTACGCCGAGGACTCCTCGGTGCTCAGACGTCGCTAGCTACACCGGAGACTCCCTTGATGATCGAATCTTGCTACGCCTCATCCGTGTGCTATCAAGCTGCTCCATGCTGTTCGGATCAGGGTGCTGATCTTGAACATCATGTCTGGGGTCTTGATACGCGCATATCAAACGACGTCGGCAAGCTTTCAGACTTCTTTTTCTTTGACCCTGCTACAAGATTCATTCTTCATCTTTCAACAGGATCGGGGACTAAGTGGGCACACTTCACCTTGCGATGAATGTGCGCTTTTCAATTCAGGGCTCCGCCCGTGGACTGGTTGCCTGCTCGGCCGGTCTTCTACCTTTCTTCTACTTTGGACCCTAGCACCACGTGACCTCGTCACCTACTGTCAAGCTCGGGGACTAAGTGGGCACATTTCACCTTGTGGTGAGTGTGTTTGCTTTAATCTGGAAGACTCCGCGCCTCTTGAAACTGAAGAAGACTATCTCCCTTTCTTGTGGTCGGACTCTAAGTGGGCACACTTGATCCACTGCAAAGAAATGTTCGATTCTGAACTTGAACTCCTTACATCCTTATGGCAAGCCGTACTTGGGCCATGCTGCCCGACGACGGTTCACATTGCTCGGCGATGGTTCACGCTGCTCGGCGACGGTTCACAACTGCTCGACAACTCATCACGGTGGTCGGACCATGAGTTTGACTGCTCGGCTTTGTTCGCACCTGCTCGAACAAGCTAAAGACGGCGTCGCACAACGGATACAAAACGCTCGGTGACTAGCTGTGGGGGTATGACCCCAGATACCTATGGCAGACCACATGGGCTGCGCCCCCAGGGGCGGCCCAGCCCACAAGATGAAGCCTTGCGGGGCACGACGCTGCTCGACGTCTCCCGCAAGACACCGGAAAGATAGCCTGAAGATACTACGAGATCTGGTAAGATACGTATGATCTCATGATTCATATAATCTGTTATTACTTTTCGGTTATCTCCTAAATCTAACCGACTTATAACCCTGCCCCCCGAACTATATAAGGCGAGCAAGGACCCCTCCAAACTCACACAATATTACACGATAGCAATACAATTCAACAGACCACAGGAGTAGGGTATTACGTCATACTGACGGCCTGAACCTGTTTAACTCGTGTGTCTCTATTGACTTCTTGTTTTCGATTACACGCATCTCTACCGATCAATCTACCTTCATGGGATAACCCTCAAAGGAGAGCCGACGATATTCTATTGACAGACACGGAGGTCTCTCGCCCCGTGGCCTGACCAGGTCACGGTAACTGGAATCCAGAGCAACAGTGCCGACCCGCGGGGCTCGCTTCAGCTGCAAGCAGCCTGGCCAAGTTATCTGTCATCTCGGAATGGTAATCATATTTTGTACAGGAAAAAAAATACACTTGCAAACTTTGATCAACAATTATTCAAATTATATATAAAACTAAAACATGAAATTTACATCAAAACATTTGTATTCAAAACTGCCTCTACGATAATATTGATTTTTTAGCAAATGTAAACATATTGTAAGAAAAATTAAGGGTCAAAAATCTGTTCTGATTGACTATGTAAGAAAAAATAAGCGAAGTTTTGCACAACAGTTACGAGAGATGCCTATGTGTCAGCAGCCAGATAAGTAGCTCAACAGCTTCCTATTGCAGCAGCTGACAGCCGAGTTTTCCACAACATTTAACAACAAGGGCCTTTCTCCTTTGGAGCTGATGCCTGTATCAACTATGAACATGATGCAAAAACTAAAGAAAAGGCAACTAAGCCGTGATCTAAATGTTGCCTCCAACTAAATCATTGAGCCCCAAGCTTCAACCCATGAGCTGCGAACAAGGGGCTGCCACTTGGCCAAAGGTGAAACACTCTATGGAAGAACAGAGCTACAAAGCCGGTCGACATTTTTCTATGAAGCACAAAATTGGCCTGAAGAATTGATTGGATCACCAACAAAAAGGAGCAGGCTGCTCCGGTGACCCAGGTAAACCTGTAGCATGTAATCTATCTTGCTTTGGTTACAAGATCTCAGATCTTCATCATTACAATTCTTTCTTGCACCTTCTTGTCAGCAGTCATGACCAAGGTGGATGGTCCTGTTCCCTAGTCTCTGGAGGGTGTGGCCTCCACCCTGGTTTCTCGTCCCAGTACATATCATAATATATGTGACCAATATCACGGAACTCTACACAACACCATAGGCCCACATACCTCTTCACACGATTTCGGAATTTCTTCTCCACAGCCTGGTTTCAGTAATTTGCGTTAAGGTGGAAACTTTTATCCAGAAAATTAGGCAACATGTATAAGAGTATAACAGCTTACTGCATCAGCAAAACCACCGAAGGCATCAACCATAGATGAGAATTGTATGATTTTGACATCCTTATATGGTGACAACAAATCCAACAGCTATTCAAAAAGGGAGAAAAGGCACAACTTCAGCATATGTACAAAGAACAGAACAAAATTTCCTAGCTTCAAGATACAATAGTATTTCCGAGTTTGAATAAAATGTTATATTCCTCAGCAGTTCATTTTTATTTTTCTATTTACTTAGACTGTTGTACTTTGGACTAAACTGAAACCACATGCTGCACGAAAGAAATAACAATTTACCTTTTCTTCAGTACTATTTCTTGGTAAAAGAAAGGATCTGTGCTTATCGGTTTCATCAACTCCAGAGCATCTGGAGCTATGCTCATCACAGAGTTGAACATCGAGTAACAAATCTTTCACCTAATTGAACGCTCCAAATCAAAACAATTAGGACACAAGCTCACATCTCTTGTTGCTAAGCATTCAAGGTGAAATTAAAAAAAAACAGCAAATCACTTGAAATTACCTCTTTAGGTAATGATGGATTCTCAAGAAAGGAGTACTCTCTGAAATCAATATGTGGACCAAACTCTTCCTTGGGCAAGTCCTTTAGCATAACATGAACCTGTGCCATGACCCATGAAATTATAAAGAAATTTGATTCATAACTGATTTACAAATATCAGATAACTATTCTCTTCAGACCCTCTATAAGGGCCATTTTGATTGGGCTCAAGGCAAAGTTTAAGAGGGTAGGAGAGGGGAGGGGCGATATGGATTGGCAACGCCACTAACCAACTACAGAACCAACCTCATGGGGTGAAGTGACCTGTTATTTGAAGCTGAGGTGGCAGTATGGATATCAGGTTTTTTAGAAAAACAATAGCCTCCATTACAAAAGGAAAGTTTTCATTACAGAATTACCTCAAACACATGATCCATCGGGCAGAGAAAAGGTTGTCTGGTCATAGTTCCTTCTAAAATTCCAGGATGTCCAAACCACATTCTATCAAGCCTGCACCATAATGGAGGCATTACCTAAAAGTACAAACTGCAGTCAGAAAAGGGGCATCAACATGTATGAACACTACAAAAAGCTAGATAATACTTCAAAAATCTTACTCCATTCCAAATTATGTCGTTCTGGCTTTTCTAGGTACATAGCTTTTTCTATGCACCTAGATATCCATTATGGTCTAGATACACAGTAAAATCTAGGTATCTAAAAAAGCCAAAATGACTTAAAAAAGCCAGAATCTACTGCCTCCAAAAGCAGTAGAACCTAAAAAATGATGATTCTGTCTTGTACTGAACTGTGAGCAAGTATTTAGTGTAAACAAATGTTAACATCTAATTTATCACCATAGTACTTCTAAGGCTCTACCTTGCTCATATGGAAATTTTGCTGGTAAACGGAATTGAGAAATTTGTATTAATTAAGGAGAGACGGCGCACAATATCTCAAAAGGTAAGAACATAATAGTAATCTTTGAGATCAGGCAAGTAAGATTTTAAGAAAGAGACCAAATTAATGATGTCAATGGAACAGGGGCAAATCAAGTTCAGTCAGATGCTTCCACCTGAAGGTATGTCCATTTACCCCCACAATCATGCAAGTGAATCATTTCAATTTAAACTAGAAAACAGCTGAACCGAAGGAAAACATGAAGCATGAAAAAAACAAGTATAGAAAAGAGACATTTCACCTACCAGTGTCCGCTTTAACAAGGACGCGACTGCAAGTGCGGTTCTTATTTGCTTCAGCTGAAAAGTTTCATGCAACTAATTAGATTAAAAGAACATGCAAACATTAATAATAGACATACAACTGGTAATTTGATCGAATATATATAGAAGAAGATACCTGATAATTAACCAACTCAAAATGAGATTCAACAGTATGAGCACCGTCTAATAGCAAACTTTTTGGAATGTTAGGTTTAAATGACAGGAAACCTCCTGCAACAGGACAGTAGACTAAGTACAGAAACACTAATAAAATGGTAAAAAGAAGAAACTATAAGAGATTAAGAGTACTACTAGTACAGAGTCCATTTCTACTTTCAAGGCACTTGAATAAACCAGTCAGAATAAGCACGAATCTCTGTTCAGGACAGTAGAGTACAGTTTGCTTGTGACAGGTATAGACAGTGAATAGACCTGGAGAATCATAATAAGATGGTTGATCAAAGAAAAGCATTGCCTCTCGCAATCTATGGCGCTTTCCTTCAGTACCCGCATACTGAAAAGTAGTATGAACTGCATATGGTTCCAAATGAAGCTGCTTATACATGCCCTGACAATCCAAAGAAAATAAACACAAAGCACCTTCAAATCAATAGAGCACTATGAACACACCTAGCAAGGCAAAAAACTACCAAAACAATGCAAACAGAATGTCCAAAGAGCTACATGGACACTAAAATATAACAAGATACAACTATTATCTAACTAAAAAGTGTTTTCAAATTCAAAATTTCTAATTGGCAACCACAAAGAGATACTCCTACCTGCACAAAATATGTATGGCCGCTGCAAAATATACTTGCCGGTAGTACTCCCAGCTTCAGTTTCCCATCATAAGAATATACCAGATCACCTCCTTGAACTGGCTGATCACCTCCTTGAACTGGCTGTCCAAATTTTTTGCGTACAAGATCATTAAAAGCATTCTGGTCCCACAACTTATCATCAGATATGACTAAATCTTTCCAATCTTTTGCCAGCCTTTTAGCAGGTTCAGTGGGTCGCCAATGGAAAATACCAATGTTGAATGCACCAGTAACTGTGAATAAGATAATAGAGATTGACTGTCATGTTATCAATTACATAGCATTGGAATCTTCAGTTATGTAGTTTTCAAGAAGACGATAAAATAATTCGCTCAAAAGTTGGGAACCACCAAAGCATCCCTGCTTCAGTTAGGTAATTTAATATAAACATAAGGAGATACAAGAGTGGAGTGGAAGGGACATGCCTGAAAGATGAGGGTGAAGTACAGCATAATAAATTTGAGCATGAAATCATTTTGTTGGGCTATGGAGAATGGAGGGTACATATGACTAGGTCCATAAGGACCTCCAATACCTTATGTTTTTAAAATTCCTAGGGCAGAAAAGATTGTAAAGATAGCTATCGATGTTCTAAATCTACCCAAAGAAAACACTGAATATAACTCATGCTTTCAGGAATTTATTTGCTAAATTAAATTTAATATTACAGCACTGAGTAGAGGAACCAAAATATAAAAACATTTATAGTTATAGCATGCTTGAAATGGGTGCATCCATCACTCAATAATGCCAGCGAAACACAAGAGAACGCTGAGCTGCTTAGTTGTCTTCATGTACACAGGACTGCCAAGCAAGACGGTATGTTCAATAAGGTCTACATTGCAGGTATTTGCTACATGATACTCATGCACATATACTTCAGTACTTCACAAACTAGCTACATGAGTTGTACATTGCTGTCACTAGTGAAAATCTTTCTTCATTGATTGTAAACTTTCGAAAATGCTCAATGGTGTGTATTTGTACTTAAATGCAAGTTCATTTCAAACTTCCAAGACATGCAGTACAAGGGAAATGGCTCATGCAGCTCTTCGACCAACTAACATAATGTTCAGTTCAGCTACAAATAAGATATAAATAACTTCTTTGGGTCTGATTACTATATTCAGGTGCATATCACACCATCTCTGTTGTCAACCTCAGGATTGAATAGAATATGATGCGATCTGTGCTTGATTACTACTGCTCGCAACAGAGATTGGTAACGAACACACTAGCAACCTTTTTTTTTTTTTTTTTGCGAGCAGAACACACTAGCAACTTAGTAGCAACCAGAACGATTCAGAACCCACGTCATATCTGTGGTCAATAATTACCTTCCCTCCAGTTCTCCAGGCTGTCGTCGGTGACGGTGGGTATGACCTGATCGCTGGACGTGAGGAGATCCGCGTCGGGGTATCGGGCGAGGTAGGGCAATGGGTTCTTGAGCCACACCATGTCCGTGTCGCACATGAGCAGCTCGTACCCGAAAGGCAGGAGCGCGTTGATGAGCAGCACCTTCTCCCTGCCCATCTTGTGGAAGGTGGGGGAGCCCCACCCGGCGTCCTCGGTGGCCATCCTGCTGCCCATGTCGAAGACGGGCACGCCCCGTAAGTAGAGCTCCCGGAGCAGCTTGGTGTCCATGGCGCCGACGAGGAGGCTGTCGACGCCGAGGTCGGTGAGGTGGCGCACCCAGGTGAGGATGAAGTCGAGGAAGGCGTAGTTTCCGAAGGTGACGACGATCACGCCGTCGCGGGCGCGGGCGGCGACCATGTCGCGGGTGAGCCGGAACGCGCGCGGGAGGGCATCCGCGCCCGCGGGGGGCGGGGCTTCCAGATGGGGCGGTTGTACATGGTCTCAGGCTGGGCGGGAGTGGGCGCGGAGAGGTTGGCCCCGGCGATGGCGGCGGCGGGGAGCGGGAGGGTGGGCGTGGAGAGCGAGGAGAAGGAGGAGAGCAGGAAGAAGAGGGCGGAGACCGCGAAGCCGCCGAGGACGGCGCCGTAGATCCCGACGAATACCGGCTTGGTGGACTCGGCGGAGCACCACGCCGCCATTTCGCTGGCGGGGATCGGGGTCGCCGGAGGCGGAGGCGGAGGCGGAGGCGGGGTCAGCGAGCGGTGGGGGCCGGGGACATTCTGCGCAGGCAGTTAGGGGACAAGGACGGCGTGGGTCCCGCTGAGCGGTGGGTCCCGTGCGACGGCAGGGTCGTCTCGTGCAGTGCACGGTATAGATGTGTGGCATCCCGTTACGGGAAAGCTACGGACGCCTACACACTACACAGTGGGTCCCGCCTCCCGACGCTGCCGTGCGGGTCAGAGGAAGCGACAACAACGACAAGGTTGGCAGGGGCTGATGGCACAACAAGCAATCGACCATTTTGTTTTCTTTAGGAATCATCTTGTATTTTACTTTAAACCAGCATCCGTGCTGTCAAATAATTTTTTGAAACATTTGTATACTGTAATAAAATATTGACATCTTGCCTTAAAAGTATTGTAGAAATATGGTCATGTTTGCTTATCTTATGATCCGTATTTTTTAGTTTATTTTTTTAATCAGAACAATGTTTTTCTCTCATAATAAATTAACCGAAACAGGGTTTTAGCTTGTTTTTTCAGCAAGACGAATGAGACTATATGTCCACATTTCATCCTATTTTGTTGATAGTCACCTACCTGCTCTTCCCGTGCCATGGCCCTAATTAATTGCTTCATACTCACATTTTATGTTTTTCTCTGGTGCGGCTTGCTTGGACATGGCTGAGCACGGTTCCTATAATTCTACAGCATGTTCGATGAGTTGTATTCGGCTTATAAGTCATGGCTTATCAGTTAAAGAACAATATTTTTCTTTCACACCAAATCAGTCAACAGTACTTTTAACCATAGCTTATAAACCAAACAAGCCCAAACAAACAGGGCGCTAGTCCGTCCGACCAGTGTACCAGATGCTCTATGCAGGAGGGAATTCTTTTTGTTTAATCTTTTTTTCTTTTATTTTCAAATCTAACCCGTTTGGCCACGTATAAATCCCTAATACGGCAAAAAAACATAAACAAATTCTAAATCCAACACGGTTGCTTTTTTATTTGACAGAATATCCATTTTGGTCTGAACTTTTAAAACAGCCGTTTTAGTCCTCAAACTCTACTTTTAGACTCAATTTCATTCTAGAACTGTGAAGATGATCGTTTTAGTCCTTAAGCTTTGCATTTTGGCCTCAATTTCATTTAGAAACTATCAGTGTATTTTGTGCTTTAAGCTTTTATTTTCAACTCAACTTTGTCTATGTTCTACGTAGAAAGCTGCATTGTTGCACCTGGTTAGTTCCAACACCACCGACGATTGGAGATAGAAAAATAATATTCATCCAAAAACTCTTTCGTGGCCATTAATAATTTCAAGATATTATTTTTAGTGTTACCTTATAATGGTACCATTTATATATAAATGATATTTGTGGGAGTAATTATAGTTGCATCAAACACTATTTATTCTTGGATATATTGAAATAATAGCATATCCATAATTTTGATAATTTATGGATGAAATTGTGTCTAAAATATTAAGGTTTCTTTTTGAATAGACAAAATTGAGTTAAAAATAAAAGTTAAATGCACTTTGATAGTTTATAGATGAAATTGAGCCCAAAATGTAAAATTTGAGGACTAAAACGATCATCTTCATAGTTGTAGGATAAAATTGAGCCTAAAACTAAAGTTTGAGGACCTAAACGACCGTTTTAAAAGTTTAGAGACGAAATTGAGCCTCGAGTAATAGTTGAGGGACCAAAATGGCTATTGTGCCTTTTTATTTCAAATCTAAACCGTTTGGCCACGCCTAAGTCTGGTGTGTTTTCGCCGCGCCAAGGACTTAGACGTGGCTAAATAGGTTAGATTTAAAAATAAAAAAGCAACTATGTTAGATTTAGAATTTGTTTTAAGAAAAGGTTATAAAAAAAATCGCAGGCGGATCCTTTAGCCAGCCCAGGAGCTCTGCACATTGATTCAAGGTGATACAGCTGTTGTGTAGCTTAAATCCAGTGTTAGTTCTAAATAGCTTCATCTATGATCTACTGTAATTCAAGAGCACGCACCCCTATTTTTGTGTTGTCTTGTAATTTCGGGTCTAGTTTGATCTATAAGATGAGGCAGGAGTTGTGCAGCTTTGTACCAGATGCCCGTGCTGCGTCAGTGCTCACCTGGACCAGGTGATTCAGCGGACGCTAAGTTCCATTAGCGGGATTCAAAGATCACTCATAAATTTGAGTATATTTGTCATGAAACATCACTTTCTAACACATTAAAACATAAAAAAATAAAATGCTAACAGATCAATACACATATAACTTAAGAGTAAAAATAGACATCTAATTGTAGTCTTTTTCATGTGTAAAGTATTATAGGGTCATCAATTTACAAATCAATCAATAAAATACAATCACATGAGCACCAAACCCGCAATAGCAGCTTGATAACTGCAATAGTGGCCCGCTGTTGCGGCCGTTAAGTTGCAAACCGCTAGCCTATACCTCATCGTCCTGTTCGCTCGGGGCTGTTCGGCACGATTGAAAAATAAGTTAAAATACTATTTCGGCTGATTGTTATGAGAGAAAAATACTGTTCTGTCTGGACGTGAACAGTATTTCTGTGAGTGAGCTGGCCAGCCGGACTCAGCCCAGCCAGCCAGCCGAACGCACCCTCGGCTTATAAGCCATATTTTTTTCAGCCGACGAATATTATTTTTCTCTGACAATAAATCAGTCGACAGTACTTTCAGCCATGACTTATCAGCCAAGCGAACGGAGCAACGTGCTAACCAGCTACTACCGCTATTGCGGCCGCTACCGCCGTATTTGTTACCTTGTCCACACAAGGAACAAAACGCTACAGCGTCCGTGAACATGGATCGATTCCAAGATGAAAATTTTACAGATACAAATTTATTTCATTTCCACACTGACGCATTTACACGGTTGCAACACAGAGCAAGAAGCTAGCTAGCTGGTGGGCAGTCACTAGTGAGTGACCACTGGCCACCATGCACCGGAAATTCGTGCCTCGTCGTCGCCGCTCGCTGCGCGTGCACGGCAGGTAGTCACCGGCCGACAGGCAGACTCGCAGGTGCAGAGCGCACTTGGCACGCGACTGAGTGCGGCTCGGTTATGTGGGCTTCAGATCCTGGAACATGGACTCCCACCGCATCTCCTCGCCGCCGTCGTCCGTCCCACACCTCCCAGTTGTCTTCGTCGCAGCTGCGGGCCTCCGTACTCGCGAGGCAGCCGGCGATGGCAGCGGCCGTGCCGTTGCCCCTCCACTTGTTGGCACAGCTGTTGGTGAGCACAATAGGGTTGCTCACGAGTGCCAACATCATCGGCGGCTTCCTGCCGCGCGGCGCCACGCGCGGCGCGGCTATCTTGCTCCAGCCGTGCGCGACGACCCTCCCGCCGTGGTGCCGCGCCGGCGCGGATGGCCGGCCGGTCCCTTCGGCTGAGGGACGGCGACGACACCGAGGCGCCGAGCCAGCCGAGCGCCGCCCGCGCGGACCGGTGCACGGCGGCGTCGAGCAGCCTGGTGGCGCGTCACGGCAGGGCAGTGATGGCGGCGGCCACGTGGGAGGAAGACGCCCATGGAGGCGAGGAACCCGTGGTCGAGGTGGCGCACATCGGCGGCGCCGAGCTTGTTGCGCGCGTACTCGAGTGCCACGTCCGGGTACGGTGTAGCCACGCGTACCAGTCCATTGGCTGGCGGCTGGAAGCAAGGCTTCCGCAGCAGCCAACGGGGAGGCGGCGTCAAGTGAGCGGCGTCACGTGAGCGGGTTAAACCAGCGGCAGCGTCTGGTGGATCCGTGGATGATGGCCGTGCACGAATCGTTGGGTTTCCCACCCACGGACAACAATTACGCATTAATAATACAAGTAATTGCGGATCTAATAACCGAAAGGAAAAAGTCACCTTGGCCCCCTCAACTATTGGTGGATATCTACTTCACCTCCTCACATATAAAATCAGATATTCTACCACTCAAACTATTGAAAACCGTCTAAATAACTCATGAGGCGGTTTTTAGGGTGGTTTTGCTGGCATGGCATATTAAAAAGTCTGTATAACCCTCTAATATATCAAGGGTTGACTACATAACTTATCAACTATAAAACATGATATTATAGCATGTAAAGCATCAAATAATGTTCAAATAACTCATGGGATGATCTTTAGGGTCGTTTGGACACTGTATCTTGCTACACTGACCTAAACACACATGCTTGCACGAAGGCCATTTGTTTCCTCCACCTCCTTACTCTTTCTAGGTTGACCCATCGTCAACGAGCAGTATGTGACATCTTGTCTCCTGCTTCACCTCCCATCACTCGTCGATAGCATTGAGCTCAAGCACGCCACGTCTACGGCCCCCTTTGGTGCAGCTCCGGGCGGCTCCGGCTCCCTCTGCTACGCACTGTTCATCAGAGCCGGTTTTCTCTCTCTTCGTTTCCTCTCTCACAGAGCTGATCTGAGGGGGGAGAAGCTCGTTTTTTTTTTCTCCAGCTCCGGCTACGGTGTCCGGCACCAAACCCAACATCGTGGAGGCCAGCACGCACACTCCGCCCTGCTCTTTAGCTTTGGTTAGGTTTAGATTGGGAGATGGCAAATCGACGAGGCGGCGCGGCCCCCGGCCCACTGGAATGTTGCCCTCGAATAGGTGGGACTGGTATTTATGTACCAGCAGCACCGCGGCCCCCGGCCCACTGGAATGTTACTTCTGGGATGCGTCCGC